AGCCTAGAGTGATGCCAATGACAGGTTCTGGTCCAATGAAGAATATTATCATTGACTTGTGTGTGAGGTTGGATTTATCCAACTGTGAACCAACAACTATCTGCTCTTAATATTCCTTCTCCTGGAGGATCCAGTCCTTCCTGCTCGGGAATAGTACTTTATAAGGCAGTTCATAGTTGACAGTTGGAGGCATAAAGTCAGAAGTTATTTCCCGAATGCTGTGACTTCCAGTGCCAATCAACAGTCTGTTGCACTCTGCATTAAATTGATTTGTGCAATTGACAATGTGCAAAAGTCTGTATGCAATCCATCTAGTCTCTCTCTCCAGAAAAATGTGGAGGGGAGGTGGATTTAGAAGGATCTCCATGGCCGCTGACGGTGTGGTACTGATGGGACCACTGATAGCCAGACAAGCGTCTCTGATTCAGAGAGCTTCGCTTGGGCCGTTTTCTGTAAAGCATTCGGCCACCAAGCAATTGCACCATAAGGGATCATTGGTCTAACAATCATCACATGGAGATAGTCTGGCTTTGTGTAAGACTTTTTCCAAGTTAGCGTTCCAGGTGAGTTTTTCATCAAGGATAATGCCAAGATATTTCACCTCCGTTCCAAATGAAATGACCTCACCATTGAGGGAAAGTGGCGTTAGATCGTCCAATTTTCCGACGTGCACCTTTGCCAGGATGACAAGGTCATCTGCATAAGTTTTTCTTCTGTCGAGGGCATCAAGCAAAGGTGTCCCTGAACCTAATGGCCTCGCCTTGAAGAATCGTAGTTGTGGTTCTGTTTAATAGCATGGCATAGATCCAGCCAGTTATGGTCGATTCTATACCCTTTCTAGCCAGAGACAATCCTGTAGATTTAGGTAGTGCATAGTCAAATGCTCCTCAAGAAATACAGCAATTGCAATCTCCTTAACAAATATGGAATTAATATGGAATCAACATATTGATACCTCATGTAATAAACTGAAGAAAAGCTGCTATTGTATTAGATTCATGTCAAATCATTGCAGCTCTAGTATACTCTCTAGTATACCTCTCAGTGATCACTCTTTTTCAGAAATTCGGTCTGTAACTGGTTTACCGAAACTTAGTTTACGCAGAGAACATATAGATATTATATTCCATCATAAATTGCTTAATTTTAGAATTAATTGCTCAACTCTTCTTGCCCAACTAAATCTTCATGTTTCCTCTAGAAAAACACGAAATAATCTAACCTTTGCAATAGATTACCATAGGTGTAACTATGGAATGCATTCTCCTTTATCAAGAATAGTCATAAACGGGAATAATACAAAATTCGATCTCTTTCATATTTCCGAGGATATTCTTAGAAATAAGTTAAGATATACTTATTCTTAAATTGCTTGTATCTGTCATTTACTTTTATTCTCGCTTCATTTCGATTCTCTACTATAACTGTTTAAATTNTTGAACTTTTTATATGATGATTAATTTAGGTAATGAAAAATAAAAATATCTTGATAAAACTTAGTTTTCATTAAAAAGAGAATCGTGCAGGAATTTGTTCACTGCCAATAAAATGTTAACAGTCATCGCACTTTTTATCTTAGAGACAGTTTGCCTTATTTATAAACATAAATCGAAGTTCAACTTTGCTTCTACTCCTTATGCTACTCGCAATAGCAATTATACCTTTAGACTTCCCATCCCAACTTCGAATTTAATCAAGGATTCCATATACTACAATGGTGGTAAATTGTTCAATAATTTACAATTAGAAATGTGCAAAGGCTGTGAAGAACCTACTTGTTGATAGATCCTATTATATTTTGGAAAAGTATTTTAGCATATCCTTTTTATAAAAAATCAACAATTCATTCTTTGTACTATCACTTCATACATGGTGGTGTTTTATATATGCATTTTTAGAAATATTTTTATATTTACTTTTATAATTGACATTTTCTTTGTTTATTGTGCATTGACTTCTGTCAACTGTACTTTTCAACCAAAGAAATGAATATTATTATTATTATAGTATCCACAATCGTCTTCCATTAGACAATGGAAGTCCGAACTAATGAAATGTAGGATTTTCCTGTTTCAAAAGATTATTATTTTTATATTTTTGTGTAGGCTTTGTTACGCCCTGGACGATTTGATAGACATATCCTGATAGATTACCCCGACTTAGTTGAACGAAAACAAATATTCGAACAGCATCTGAAAGGCATTGTTTTGGAGCATGCACCTGATACTTATTCGAAACGATTAGCGTATCTAACACCTGGATTCAGTGGAGCAGATATTGCAAATGTTTGTAATGAGGCTGCCCTACATGCGGCACGATTGAAAAAAGGAAAAGTTTTTCAAGACGATTTGGAGTATGCCGTGGAGAGGCTTGTGGGTAAGTATTTGATACAATCCTAATTGCACATGGAACAGGCTTCTTGAAATATTCAATGCATGAACTCTAATAACTTGAATTAAACAACTGCTTCCGTAAGAGCCAAGTCACAGAGGCAGTCAATTTATTGTATTTTTAATTTTGTTTTTTTGCTTATTTTAACTGTCAAATTATATTTAAAAAAAAAATTTGATAAAAACTGCTTTTGTGCTTGTTTTTTATACACTTGGTATGTGTTTGTGCTTTTTCATGCTTTCTTTAAGAAGGTCAAACCTCTGGCAAAAATGTTGAAGAAACTTTGGAGATCATAGCCTGGAAATGCTGCTATATGAGGTAAGTGGTCACTGCTCAATGGGTGTTGGTATATTGCTCAACTAGGTGGAC